AATTATCTAGTAAATTATCTAAGGAAGATGGAAGTGAAGGAGTATATCCTTCCTGAGAAGACAGGGCATGAGTCAGGAAATTGGGATCAATGATCCATTAGATCTGATATCTCCCATTATTAGCAATTAGGGTTACTTCATAAAATGCTGTGTTTCTCTGAAAGAAGCTGCTTTGACTGATTATGGGTTAATTCTTTTCAGCCAGCAAATGAGGCTGAAGATGTTTTTCCAAAGCATTCTGTCAGAGGAGATGCAATTTTTCTAGGTTAGGTCACCCTGATTCTGCTGAATCTTCATTACAGGGGTTTTCAAACAATTTTTATATGGCTCCTCCTATGAAATTAAAACACTCTATGCTCTACAGGCCTAAAGTATTACATTACAGCTTGATTCATTATTTGAAGTCCCATGGAGAACAGAGATAAGTATTTTAAAAGGTAACAAGGATCTGAATGAGAATGCACTGCAGATTTTTCACCAGTATGTGACCTGATGCCTCTTAAAATAAGACCCAATAAAGTTTCAAGTTTAGCACCTGAAATGAAAGGCCGTTTTTTGAAAATTACAGTCATTTTTTTTAATGATTATTTTCACATTCTACAAGCCAATCCAATTATACAACTGTCATATTTATCAAAAGCATTTTGAAATCACTGGATCAGCACTGTATTAATCAGTAAATCAAAACAAATCATTTTTATCACACATATTCAGGACAACAGACAGCTAATCAGTTCCTTAGTCAATACAATAGGGAAGATGACAGGAGGAAGTGCGGCAGTTCACTCCAAATTTAATCTTTTTTTCTCCCCCCCAGCTTCCTTTTAGTGGTTATGTTGGAACTCTATTTTCTATAAAATAGCCAGCTCTCAGCCTCAACCTTTTTCCATAGGAATGCAGTTAGATAATGAGATATTTATACTTAAATAAACTTCAAAAAGACTATCCTAGTTCCCATTTTTAAATAACAATTGTGATGCAATTTTCACACAAACTGTTTTCATTCACAAAGCACTAAGACTAAGTCTTGTGAATAGTTTTATACTTCAGCTTTGTTTTTTGCTTTTTGTTCATTTGTTTTGTTTTTTCTGTGTTAAGCATTTTCCTCTTAAGATATCTAATGTTTTAATCTACCCAGGTCAATCTGCCCAGTAAATGGACAATGGGTGTGGAAAACTAGGTGACAAAAGCCTTAAATGTTTGATACACATTACCCCAATATCAGTAAAATGTTTGAAGTAAGTTATGTTGTACATAAGCATGTGGAGTGTATTGTGATAAACAAGCAGAGACTTTCAGTTGCATGTATGTAGTAATCTCATTTTACGGTCTCTTATCCTCCATCTCCCAGTGAACAGCTAAGGCTGGCCTAAAAACCTTCTGTTTGACATTATTTTACAAACTCATATAAAACGCTATGCATAAACAATAAATTATGGGTACTTTTATTATAGAGCTCACAGAACTCAACAGACAAGTCTAGGAGGGTATGGGCAAGCAACCTACAGAGCACGAGCAGTGGACAGGAATTTACTGCAGAACAGTCGACGTGCGGTAACTGTTCATCCGCCCACTTCTACCAGACTTGAGTGGGTTACCTCTAACTAAATCACAGCTAAGTTTTTCCGGTTTAGCTTTTACTTACCATGGGGTAACGTTGGGCAGATGGACATGTCATGGATCAGCTACTCCGCACTAAGTTTTAACTCGCTGCAATTTAAACATGTCCAGATAGTTTCACGTTATCTGTTATGTCCAATGCATAGCAGTACTCTGTACTTAATTAATACACAATCAGTAAAATACACATTGATCCAAGTCACTTTCAAATACAATATTTTTTCCCATTTTTACTATAAATATGATAACATTTAACAGCACAGTCTAGCAAGAAACTGCACTATGAAAATCGTGTTGGTTAATAATCCCAACATTCCTGGGCTTTGATGTATAAGCAAAGTGCCATCTGATACAGTAGAAGAACATGCTTCTTGCACAAATCACCGCAGAAACATGTTTGTTAAATACAGTTATAACTTTATCTGCCACAATTACACTGAACGCAAAAAATGAAAGCTTTCTCAGCTATTCTTTTCAAACATAAAGCAATCATGCAAAAATAATAAAAACAGATGTCATGCTGCAAAGTTTCTATTTCTAGACCTGATCATCTCTGAATTACGAAGTTATATCAAGCAAGACGCTTCCTGTCAGTGGACGTTTATGACAGCTAAAGTATCTCATTTGAATCCCATGTTCAAATTTCTGAGAATACTAACACTCAGAGGCATCTTCATGAGTTCCATCTGCAAACAATTTCTTTGAACAACAAACAAAAAAAACTCGGCCTCTTAAAGCATTTCCCTTCAACTAAAAAACCTTGAAGTGCTGCTTTAAAGCTTAAATTCTTTTCTGGTTCTAAAAATGGAAGCAAGTATGTACTTTCAGACATTTCTGAAAAGATTTAGGTAAATATAGTATTACTAAAAAGGAAAAATGCCTACTTAGTGTTTGAATAAATACTTCACCTATATAGATATATCTATATATAAAAAGAATAACCTTATGTGGCACAGCATAATCACCCACATTTTTAAATAGGCATCTGCGCCATTCCAAAGACAAACATTTATTCTGAAAAAGAATTTGACTGGGTTATCCGGCAAAAAATCATCCCTGAAAAGGATGTTTTAGGTGTATTTAACAAAAGGATGGAAGTCCCACTTCATTCAAATAGTGTGCCAGCTAGTAGCACATGGATTCTTCCAAAGGTTAATATGCTGGTAGTAACAGTTTCATTTAGCCACACAGCAGTTTGGGAGGCAAGAAGGGGGAAGTACTCAGATTATTTACTACTATTCCCAAGAGCAAAAATGCTGAGTTAAGGGAATTTGGAATGGAAGTCTAAAAATCTGTTCAAATGGTGTCTTTAAAATAGTGCCACCCCTCCTCACCCGAGCCCCACCAAAAGAACTCTGTAAAGACTCAGAGAAAGGAACAGAAATGGGCAGATTTAGTATTCTGTAGTACTCTTAACTCACTTGTTATGATATAGATGTAGCAAGTTAAAAAGACAGTCTATTCCGAGGCCTTGCCATTAATCGTCAGACAGACAAATTGAAGAGAGCTCAAAAAAACCCTCTTACTTTAAAAGGGAAAATTGAGATATTCATATCATCCTTGAAGGCTCATAACATTGAGTCCCTTAGTACTCCAAGATGACTGGACATGATAAATGGGGGATCTCTGTTGGGCCTGTCAATGCTCTTCCACAGAAAGTAGAGAATTTCTGGAAAAAGACCATTTAATTCCCTCTGATGCAGAGCATGTGGAGCCAAGTTTAAAAAGAATATAGTTACATACTGAAGGGCTGGAAAACAAGACTATAGCAATAAAAGTGAGTAAAGAAGGTGTTAAATTGTTATTAGTCAACATTGACATGGCACATTCAGAGTTCTGATGGGGCTCCACATGAATGGAGAAAGCACTGAAATATGCTTGCTTCTACTTTTACTTTCTTCTAAAGGCATATTACAGTCTTGCACATTATCTCTGAATTTGGCACTAGTTGCTCCACCATAACTTTCAGTATGGTGGAGCAATCAGTTCTTATGCTGGAACATAGGTAAGCGTGTTCTCTTCTAGGTTGGTGGACCTCCTCCGGCGGGCT